GGGCATGTGCCCTGACCAGGAATGGAACCTTGAGCTCCTGGTTCATAGGTTGATGCTCAACCACTGAGCCACACAGGCTGGGCTTGGAATTTCTTTGTAATTTTCTTCTTGCTTGAATTTTTAAAATAGCAAGTATGTTTCATTAAAAAAGTAATAGTCATTATTCTAAGTCTTAGACTCTAAGAGCTTACCAAGATCGAGGTGTTGCTATTTTCATTTTCACATACGGAAACCAAGGCTCAGAGAGGTTAGAGTACTTGCTTGATGTCACACAGCCAGTAGATACTAGAATCAGGAATTGAACCCAACCCAGACTGACTCCAGGTCTGACTTTCCATAATACCCATCCTGCCACCAGTGTAAGGAGATGGAGAGCAGAAGGACACAATTTTAAAACTTCCCATTCCAGCCTACCTGATACTTCCCTGCACACCCCGCCAGAAGGAGTGGGATTTAAGTTTTCTCTCATCTCCAGAGTCTTGCTGCTCAGAGTTGTAGCACCAGGATCACCTGGAGCTTGTTAGAAATGGAGGGTCTCGGACCCCACCCAGACCCACTGAATTAGAACCCGGTTTTTAAAAGATCTCTGATGACGTGATGCCCACCAGAGTCTGAGAAGCCCTGCTCTGCATCACACCTTCTCCCTTCCTTCTCAGTTAAGCCTTAATAGCAGGTGAGGTAATGGGGAGAAAGGTCAGCCTCATTCTTAGGCGACCTAAATTAGGAGACTACTCACATGCTTGCTGGGCTTCTCCAACCTTTAAAACTTGACTCCAGGCCCCAGAAGAACTGTGGGATGGAATCTAAAACAGGCGTGTGAGCCTGTAGACAATAGTTTGGTAGTTAACACTTGGAACCCACTATGAGTTCATCATGAGAAAAAGAATCATTTCAAAATCATCACATTTTTTTCTTTTTAAAAAAATTTATTGCAGAGAGAGGAGGAGGAGGAGGAGGAGGAGGAGGAGGAGGAGGAGAGATTTGTTGTTCCATTTGTTTATGTATTCATTGGTTGATTCTTGTATGTGCCCTAATCAGGGACCACAACCTTGGCGTATCGGGACAACGCTCTAACCAATTGAGCTACCCAGCCAGGACACAGTGTCTTCTTCTGAAAAGTAATGAAAAGTTTATTATAGCAGAGTGATTGTAGAGAATCTTGTGAGCTAATATGAAAGTGACATATTATTGAACTGATATTGAATTGATTTAAGACCTGATAAGTGGTTATATACATGATTGTAAAGGTCTACCACCCAGTCTGGAATGAAGTCTTTTTTTTAAAAAAAATATTTTTATTGATTTCAGGGAGGAGGGGGGAGGGAGAGAGAGATAGAAACATCAATGATGAGAG